AAAACTTTTTAGAAATAGTGGCTCACTATTCTCCCCCATAGGCCTATTCTGATTAATCCTGGCTCTGGGTATCTCCATTCTTCTACATGAGATCTATGGCTTACTAAATGTTATCTAATATCATATATGAACTCATCCTATAACTGTGGTTTGCATTATTCATTTAGAAATCAGAAACTGGTTATACTTTTATATTGGGTAAAATGCTTTGAAATCCTTGTGAAGAAAATTATGTAGAAATGAGTAGCTATTATCATTACAGCAGTGATAGTAATTCTGACACTGCAGCTAGAGTTCTCTGAAAATTTCCCTGAAATCTCTTTCCCCTTTTACAACTAATTGTTTTTCAAAACTCTTTCTCCACTCACCATGTCCCGCTTCATGTCGATGCTATGCAGTGTCTCCTCCCTCCCCCTTGATACTTACAAGGCCCTCTGCATTCAGATTAATAACCACCAGTTTGACCTCCTCTGAAATGTCACTATTTCCAAATTTCCCCTGGGGAATCGTCTTGGAAATCAACATGTTATCCTAAGGATGTCTCACCTGCCAGTGTTTTGGTGAAGAACAGATGAGGATAGTCCCTTGACACTTCCGCGTGAGAATTGAAATAGCAACAAGATCTATGCCTGCAACTGCCACTTATTCCTCCACATGGAGCCACTGACTATTTCAGTTCAGCAGTTCTGACAGCATTTGGAATTTTGAAGCTCTGCTGAGAAAGTAATAACCACAAGATTAAAAATGAAATAGGTATAGTTCAGACACTGAGGTAGTCCTGAAGTGAGGGGACTCAGCAGAGTCAGCTAGGCTGGTAGGGAAAGAAATATGTTCTGTCCACCTCACCTCAGTTTTCCAAAATTTTACTATAGTTTTTTTTTTCTTCTAGTTTTAGCTACTTGGAGCTGGTTGTTATGTGTCATGCTGCCTAAACAGGCACGGAAAAACTGGCCCCTATTTTCATCCAGCTAGCCAGTGTATGTGACAATGCCGAATACTCCAAGGTGCAAGAGAGTGTTCTACATGTTTATCATGCAAGTGTACCTTCTGGGTACCTCTCATTCCTGGCTTCTTGACCTGCTTTGCAATCTTTCTGGTAGGTGCTCATCTTGAATCATTTGTTCTAGTCAATAACGAAAATTTGAAACTTTTACTTAACTTCTGGGCAGGACTCATAAGTCCATGTGTATCCTGAGAAGGAACCTTAAAGGATGCCTAAATGAGGACTGTTTTTTTTTTCTTCTAATTAATCATCCTTTATACCAATTTACTCCCCTCTATTTCTGGAGGAAAATGTAATCCATTCTGGGAATAGCAGTTCTCAGATGTTAAAAAGGACCTGGTTACTTTATTATATCAGCTTCTTCTCTGAAATCAACTGTAGAAAATAAAGCACTAAATCATCAACTTAGTATTCAAGGCCTTCCATAGAAGGCTTCAAGTCTCCGTTCTGGTATATTCCCCAACATAAGCCTCTGACTACACAAATGGATGGATATTTGCTATCCATAACTTGGGCTTGCCTTACTTATAGTTCTGCCTATGCTGTAACTTTTACTCAGTAGATCTCCCCCACTTCTCCAACCTCCAAAAACCAGCTGATGTACTGCCTCCTTGCTCAGATCATTCTAGTCCAATGCAATATTGTCCTCCTTAGAATTTACCTTCCTTATTTCTGGTCACATTCACTGGGCAAATTATTATATATTTCCTTCATGATTCTTCTTCACCTGTTTTATTGTATTTCACTCTGGCATTATTTATTAATTTTTGTTGTTTATTGTTTTTACTAAGATTAGTATGTGCTAAACTTACTGAGGTCAAAGACCATATAAGCATGAGACTTTATATCCTCCATGGGGTTCGTTTATGTATCTGGTGCTCACTGATTGGTCAATATCTTCCTATCATGTTGGTCCTTGCTGACAAGGGATGACACTGCAGAAATGTATCTACGCTGAGGTTGACAACACCAATTTTTTTTACCTTTATAGAATTGAAAAGCATTTCCATAATGTGAGAAAAATAGTTTATTCATAGTACATCATATAAAAAGCAGATTTATCTATTTTTATCTTTCATGTCTCCCCTCTCAATCTCTTTCTCAAGTTATCTCACATTTCTACTAATCATCAAAACCTACATGTTCTGCTGAAAGCTGTCTGCTATGGGAAGAAGTGCACTGGCAGAAATATCAGTCTTCTGGTTGATAAACATCACTCTGGGGTTAAGAGTTTAGGAATGTCTTTAGACTAGCTAATTAAGGGGCAGTTTATTGTGTTTGCGCACGTGTGGTTGTGCATGTTTAACAAAGTAGGAATAAAATTGTAAATTCTTGGGAGATTTTACCATGGAGAGGTTAAGAAGATTATGAAGTGTTTCATATTCTGAATGCCAAGGTGATAATGCAGAAAATGCCAATGAACAAACAAGCAGGTACCATCAGAGGGTCTGCATGAATGTTTCCTGGCACATCCTGATGTCCATCTGCTCCGGCCTCTTCTTGCCGTATTGCCCTGGATGTTTAAAATTTAAAATAGAAAATCTCTTCTTTTTTTTTTTCCTGAAGCTTATCAATAATAAATGTTAAACTCATGCTTCAATTATGTTTTTCTTTAATTTCTCAGTAAGCTGTTCTAGAATTAGCTCCATAATTGTGCACATCGTCACTTCTTTCCAGATCTTTGCCTTTTGCCAGTTTCACTGCAGTCTTCTACCTCCACCACCCCCACCCCAGTCTTTCACTAGCAAACAAACCCAGCAGTAATTACTAATGTCCAAGCACGCAATTCCGGCAGCGTTAGGCTTTTTCATTTGACGCAACTAGGCAGAGCTGTCTGGACATGCAGCATGAAGTCAAAGCATTTTTAATGACTCCTACCCATCTTTTCTCCCCTCCTCCCATCACTAAAACACAGTTGTTTATTTTGTTTGCGGATTGCAGACTTATAAAATTTTTCCATGCAGTTACGTACCCCTGAATATTAATTTTACATCCATATACGGTAACAGGTCAATATACACTCAAATGGAAACACATGGTTATCCATGAAATTGAAAAACATTAGGAAATAAATAGCTGGGAATGAAAGTACCTCCTCTATATGGACAGGGCATTTTAACAGCTGTAGTACAGAAATGATTGGAGTTATGACTTACAAAAATAATCCAAGATCTTATTGGGAGGCTTTTCAAAGGATCATGACAGTGTTTCTTTTAATGCGTTGCATAGATTCCTACATATGATGCTGTTACTCTTATTTAACAACTATTCAAATAGTACTGTTTTGCTCCTCGTCATTTTATGCCAATTTTAGTTATATCAAACAGGAGGAAATAACCCTGTGGTAATTTTTGTTCACTCAGAGGCTCCAAGCCTCAGAGTAGAAAATGGTTAAAGTACTTATCACTGTCTCAGCAAAATCCTGCAGTGCCGTAATAGAAATTGCAGTAGATCTTTAGGTCAGAGTCCGGTTTCAATCTAACACCTGCATTACCCTGAAGGACACAGTTGGATTTTCCTGAGGAAAACCAGTCTTAATGATGTCCAAATCAGAAACTATCAGCCTGAGATAACCAATGTCCATAGGAAACACTTCCACTCACTCTGAAACCATAGCCAAAGAGATTAAATCTATACCCTGTAGGACCTGTAACATTTCTCAGAGATGTATTTTTGTGAGTGTGTGTTTATGTTCATGCCTAATTACAAGAATGGGGGAGAAGGAAGAGGAAGAGGGATTCATTCTTAAAGTTGATTCTGCTTAGTTCAACTACCCCCATATTTTTTTTTATCAGGTAGAAATATATATGGAAATATATTACTCTTGTAAACAGATCACGTTGGTATCTTCATATATACTTCATTCATGCTCACCAAAGGTCTGCAGACAAATATACTCTGTGTTAAAAACAAAACCAAACAAAACCCTTGATATCCGCCTGGAGGATGAATGCAGATTTTTTAATAAAAAGAAGTGTTTATTTTCTACCTAAAAAAGGGGGAAGAGGGTAATATGAACACTTCCACAAGTAGACTTATTTTTTTGAAGCTATGCAGGAGCTGAGGATGGGAGAGGTAATTGCCTGCCAAGGAGTCCTGTGGGCAGGATTTATTTTTTTCTTTTTTAAAATTCTTAACCTACTATGCCTTCTCTATTAGGGAGTCTCTGTGAGACCGGGGTCTCAGACAGGCAATTTGGCCTCCAGCCCTGAATACCCACCTAGGTCTGGCCAGGCATCGCTGCCGGACCGCTGTCCGCGGTGCTGAAAGGTGGCGGGCGCCCATGAGGTCCCTCGGTATTGCTGTCCAGGGTGCTGACTGAGGGCCGCCGCAGTCCCCGAGGCGAGCCCACCCCCGCCAGCCCTACGCAGAGCCCTCCCACACAGCACGACCCGCCCGCCTCCCGCCAGCCTGCAGTTGACGTGGAGCAGGCGGCATAAATCAAGTCCGCGGGGCATGGAGGCTGCTGTCGCTGCTGCAGCTCGGCTTGCCCGGGGCGGGAACTCCCCCTTCTGCTTTCGCCTCCCCAGCGCCCACAACCTGCCTTCTCCCTAATTCTTCCCTGGATAATAGTGCCTTAAAGACAATAGTCAAAATAACAGGGTCAGAACGACAGGGTTTGTTTGTTTTGGTCTACAGGAAAAAAAAAAAACCAGCAGCCTAAACATCTCTGAAAACTGCATCGCAAAATGGAAGAGAGAGAGAGTCCCACTACTGTTTCGAAAGAGTAAGTTATTATTCGGTACGTATCCTTGCGCTTCCTCCCCATCGCTCCATCTGCAGTGTCCCCATTCCTCCCTTCCCCAAGCAGCTTACCTCGAAAATACTTTATAAGCTCCAGACCGGAGCTATCCCAAGGCGCACACACGGAATACCGCACCCTAGGTGCACAAATACTTGTATGTGCCCAACCTCACTTGGTCTCCCTGGCTGTGGTCCCCTCTGGGTATGCAGCCATCCAAAACCAGAACCACGACCCGAGGTGGAGGTTCCTTACCTTGGTTTCTTCAGAGGGTGGTGTTCGCCCGGCCCCTTGCAGGTTGCAAGTGTGGAGGAGCCGCCAAGCAGGGAGGGAAGGAGAGACAGCGCCTGACCTCCCCGAGGTTTCGTCTTCAATGCAACGTGAGCTCTGCCCTCATCAAAGATGGCCGTCCCTTTTGACGTCAGCAGCTTTTAATAGCCCTCTCTAGGAGGGGCGGGGAGGAAGTGTGTTGAGAGGAGGGCGGAGGGAGGATGGAGGCTGGCGGTGGGAGGGGAGGAGCCGAGTTGTGCGGAGCGCTTGACTCAGCTCCCTGTGCGCTTTACTGCAAACCTTTGTATTTCAGTCTTTTATAAACACCTGAACGGGACGATTCTTATGACTCCATTTTAACACCCGGTGTCAGGCAAATACATTTATCTCGCGATTGGTTTTCTGATATTCTTTGTGTGTGTATGTGTATATATATATATATATATATATATATATATATATGTGTGTGTATATGTATCTCTGCGTGTATATATTGTGTTATATATGCGACATATATGCGATTATATATAATCCCCCCCCCCGCTGAGTTGTCTTTGGTTGAGTCATAGAAGGGGAGGAGAAGGCAGAGGAGTAGAAGTGGGGGAGGGAGTCGAGGAGATTTCAGCTGCAATTTGTTTTTTCTGAAGAAGCGGCTCTGAAGGGGCATCCCTGTCAACCCTCACCAGCTCCATATATGGCCAGGCTACGTGGGCTGCTATTTTTATGAGTGATTTCTTCATTTTATCAAAGCAGCATCGAGCGCTTGGAGTTTGCATTAATGTGGTCAGTTGGAGAGACAGACTCATACACGTTATTTTAAAGTACGTCAGAGCAATTATCTCTGAGAGATATAAAATGAATTGGGCGAAGGGGGAGGGAAGGGTAATTACCCCGACCAGCGTGGGTTTCCTGGAGTTCAAGGCTTGGAGTTGAGAGTTGTTTGCTGAGGGCAAAATAGATGACGCTGTTTTCGGTTGAATATGCAACCGGAGCCTGGGGTTTTATGTTGGGTTTCTTAAGAATAGTTCACGGAAGCGCGTACACACCTTATAGAACCGTCCAGACTTCCAAGGGGAGTGTGGAGGGCTGAGGAGTTAAGGATCTCTGGGACGCTGCAAAATTCTGGTGGTTCATTCAGTACGCAAACCTAGGTACCAGTCGAGGCTAGCTTTGGGCCGGGGGCGGGGGCTGGGGGTGATGCTCAAAACAGCGTGGTCGAGAAAGGCTGGCTACTTGTGCTGGTCATATGAGAGATTAAAAATAATAATCATAAAGAAACAATCCTAATTGTCCTCCTTTGTTGTGCATTAGGCACTGAGGGAGGGCGGGTGGTGGGGTATGCAAATGGTTCCGCAGTGGCAGCCTCTCAGATGATTCACAGGTGTTGGGGAGGCTCTCGCGGGGCTCTCCGCGGGGAGGGCGAGCTGGAGAGCGCGTGGGAGGTGGGGGACCTCTGCTGAGGAACTGTTTGTACTTTTCCGGGAAGGATGCGATTAGAAGTCGTGCCTTGCAATGTTAAAACTTGATGGCCTCTTTCAGGCGATGGAAAATCCTTGTCTCGGATCCGGAAAAACAATGCACAATCCCCAACCCTGCCACCACATCCACACACCCACACACCCACCCCGCGCTCTGGCCTGAGAGCCAAGCTCGTTTTTAACTGCAAGCTATTGGAAAGAGAATCCCAGGAAAGGAAAGGAGGAAAGCAGAGTTGTAAAGGGGGCGTTTGGAGCTAGCAGAGCTGTAAGAATTTAATAAAGGATGCTTTTAACTGAAATAAGTAGAAGTCATTGTTTGTTTTTTTAATTTTATTTATTTGTCAGAGAGAGAGCACAAGCAGGGAGAGCTGCAGGCAGAGGGAGAAGCAGGCTCCCCACTGAGCAAGTAGCCCCATGCGGGACTCGATTCCAGGACCCTAGGATCATGACCTGAACCGAAGGCAGACACTTAACTGACTGAGCCACCCAGGCATCCCGGAAGTCATTGTTTCTTAAAGATTCCCTGACCCAAAGGGTATTTTGAAATGTTAATGTTTTTAATAATAATTAACAGTGTTTGGATTTTTATTAAAGCAGGATTCCTAAAACAATCATGTTGCTGAAATTTGTTTACTTAAATATTCATAAAACATTTAAGATTCTTATACAATAAAGAAGATCTGCATGGTCCTCAGATCCTTAATTGCCAATAAAACTCCTAGTTATGGTTCTCACTTTCATTATAAAGCAAGCTGGAATGGGCTGGGAGAAGTAGTGACAAATGCAGAGTCACTGCAAAATCCTTTACAGTCGGGATTTTTCCCCCCCAAATGTGACACTTATTTAGCATGTGGAAGTTTCTTGGAGAAAAGCCTGAAGTGGAGAAAAACAAAATATATGTATGGCCCTCAGACTGAAAGTCATTCATGCAGAAAGTTTTGTGAAAGAATGGAGGAAGTGGGGGATTTTCCAGATTAATAAATAAATAGAGGAAGTTAGGCATCGATGTAGGCTCATCCTCCAGGCACATGTTATGTGAGAGTCACAGGGGAGGACTGGCTTGGTATTCTGAATTTTCAACTGCTGATGCCCCACATTGACATCTTTAAATATTACACATATGAGGAGAGAGTCAGACTGATTCAAAGCTTCACAGAAAAATACCACAGGCCCACAGGATTATCTAGTGATGGTGGTAGCATGTTCCACTCTCCTGTGCTTATGCTGAAAATGATACTGTTTAGGAGTTTCTTCATCTTGCTCTGGGAAAGGTAACAAAGTCTAATTTGAGAAGCATAAACACTGGATAAATATTAAGTCTATTAAGGATGACCAGATAGCCCTAAATTTATTTTTAATATGATAATGAGATTTTTCCCCTAGGATTTACTCATTGCTTGATTAAAATAAAATATATCCATAGTCATCTTTGTCAGTAGGGAACCAGCAGATTCAAGTTATTTAGGGTCTATAAAGGCCTAAACCACACAGAGAAGGAAGGTGATGGAAAATTTGCTTTGAAATGATTCAGCTGCCTGTGAGTTTTTTCCACAAAGAACCAACATGTAGAGTAACTAATGCTTAGGAACTCATTTGATGAGTAATGAGAAAATTACCTGCTCTGCTGGATGGATATTTATACTGTGCTAATTCAGTCTCTGAAAGCTTTTTCTGGTACACCATGCCCCAAAGTTTTCTAGCTTGTAATAGCTCCAGATCCAGGTAGTTAGCTTATATTTGCCAGGTAAGGTGCAAGATGCATGATTGACTAAAAAATGACAACTTCAAAAAGTATAATAATAAAAGTTGCTTTTTAAAGATTTATTTTTATTTACTTGAGGTAGGGAGGGGCAGAGGGAGAGGGAGAGAGAAACCCAAGCAGACTCTGAGCAACATGAGAAGCCCCACACGGGAGCTCCATCTCACGACCCTGAGATCATGACCTGAGCTGAAATCAAGAGTCAGGTGCTTAACCAACTATGCCACCCAGGTGTCCCAATAACAAAAGTTTTTATAAAACTTCCTATCATCGAATCTTTCCAAAGTCAATTTGCAAGTAGGTTAGCTACTTGCTCAGCTCAGAAACCCCCTCTCCAAGGTCCACCTTTGGGACATGCCTGGCACCCTCTGACAATATTTCAAAACACCAAAAGGGCACAAGGCTTGGGCACAGGAATATACAATTTGACAGATCCACTGTTTTGATTCCTTGGTTTGCCTTCCACATGGCTTGTTTACCGCTTTTTCTTTATATGTTCTTCCCGCCCTTACCCCAACCCCCACCCCATTTACACATAGTGAATGAATAGTACCTAGTAAAATCTTAAATGCTCCCAATCTAAACTCCCCAGATTTTCCTTGTTCCTTGAAGCCACTTAGGTAGGGACAGATCTTTTGAGTGGTACAAAAAGAACCAGGAATATTGGTTTCTGTTTCTGGCTTGCCATGTAGAGAAGAAATAAGACTGTACATCCAGAGTTTTAAATCACATTTTGGTTTTTACTAAGAACAGCATTGTAGGAAAGGAGGAGAGTGCTCATTAGCCAGAGGCTAGGTGCTTCCACACTCCTGTTCCTTAATGCATCAAAATTATAGGCTCTCTTTTGTACATGAATGCATCCTAGAACCTTCTCCAATGCCAACACATGCCTGTGGTCAAGTAGGAAGGAAGAACCTTGTGTCAGTTACGGACAGAAGGAAGGAGAACATAGTAGTCAAAATAATGAAATATTAAAAAGGCTATTTGAAGGTATCACAATATTCCTTCAGTGAATCTTTTAAGAATCTTCTTGTTCCATCAGCTCTATGTACCTCAGTTATCTCATAGGTAAAATGGGGACAATAATTATCACCAACTCACAAGGAAATCGTGAAGCACTTAGAATCATCATGTCTGACACCATGAAGCATTGGTTAAATAAAATAAATTGATCAATTTGATGAGACTTTTTAACTTTCTCTACGTAATGACACATACCTCTGTGGCTTTAATGTGGAAGGTTTTTTTTTCATTAGCTACTAACTAGATATGTATAATTTAAGTCCTCTGGGCCTTGGTTTCTTCATCTGTATTCATTCATTCATTTACTCAACATCTAAAACCTTCCACATGCTTGGCACTGGAACATACTCGGGTTTAGGTATAACAGAGGAAAGAATCGAGGATTAGAGAGGTTGAATAACCTGACTAAGGGCACGGTTAATGAATGGTACTGGAATTTGAACCTCGTGGCCCAAGTTCATAATCATCATGCTTTAGTGCCAACTCTTGCAGCCCCATCAGATCCATCCCCTCTGTATTAGTCAGAGTTTTCCGGAGAAAGAGAAACAGAACCAATAGAATGTATACACACATGCATACACACACACATATTCTCTCTCCCCTGCTCCTCTCTGTATATATGTGCAAAAAGACTTATTATAAGCTTATATGATTATGGAGGCTGATAAGCCTCAAGATTTGCAGGATGAGTCACAGGCTGGAGATCCTACAGAGCCAATGGTGTAGTACCAGTCCAAAGGCCAGCAAGCTTGAAACCCAGAAAGAGCTGTTGTTTCAGTTTGAATCTGAAGGCAAGAAAAAGCCCGTGTCCCAGTTTAAAGGCATTCAGGCAGAAGGAACTCTGTTACTCAGGGGAGATTCAGACTTTTTATTTAATTTAGG